AACAGGCAGGGTGAGTAAAACGATTCATAATAATCAATATATAAAATGGCGTCATTTGCATATTCAACATCATAATTATCAAGGAACATCAAAGGTCACAACATTATAAATTACACCAATTGTCACATAAATGCAAATGCAACAAGACTCATGTATGTGGTACCAATCATCACAGCTCGATGGACACTGGACCATCAACCCTCCATATATCCCCATCAATAGGATCAATTCTATACAAGAATCGGAGCACATCAAAATACCTCACATCCGCACAATGGGACTGAAGCTAAAGAAATCAAGGTCTTGAACCGAAGTCCATATGCATATGAATGCATGATGCACACGTCAATATCATCCTCATAATAAACTCATTAGGTGCATCATCATTCATCAAAGCATTATAATAATTATGTCATCATATAATCATCAAAAACTCATGGAATCAACATCATAAATCATCACAATTACTCATGGAAATTCATTATACAGTCATGTATTAATCACATAGGTATCACAGCTATACTCATAGGAATTCATCATACATTCATTTAATCACATAGAAATCATAGTTACCCTCATGGTAATTCATCAGGAAAATCACAGCATCAAAACATCAAGACATCATTGAACCAGAACATAATTCATTAATAGAACATATATACAATTGAATTCTCAAACATAATTAGATATAAAATTATTAGGAAACCAATTCCCTTATCTATACTATGTTGTAGCCCTATTCATTAGCTTTCCAACGCTTCAAACCGGGACCAAAACGGACTTACGGATTAAACGTTACGTCCAAAACGATTTCGACCGAAAACATGAACAGTCTTGACGGACAACATGCAATTTTCCGCGTTTTTCACCATTGGAGGCCTTTCGGATCTCCGATTTCGATTCTGTAAAAAGTCAAACTCTCAGAAAATTACAACTCATTCAACACTATAATTATCTCAAGTAAATTTATGATTTTAACACAATTAAACCATCGAATCATTTTTTTAAGATTATGTCTAAAACCTTTAAAATTAAGGGATATAGGTTCAATCTCGTATCATATTTACGCCTCTAATTCCTATAATTTCTTACAAATAACCCACAGTTATTAGATTTATCACAAATAACTTATCCTACAGGGTCAAACAATCTCAGCAACAGATTTTGGTCACGAAGGTCTAATTTCCTTTACTCTCAAATCAACCTTAAACCTATCAGACCATCAGTTCAGATTCCTATACGGTTAAAACCTCAATAATAGATTTTGGCCGTGAAGGCCTACTTTCCCTTAAACCCAAATCGACCTCAAACCTATCAGACCATCAATTCAAATCCTTATACGGTTAAAACTTCAATAATAGATTTTGGACATGAAGGCCTAATTTCCTTTATCTCAAATCAGCCTCAAACCCTTTAAACTCTTAAATCAGCTTTAAATAGATGGAATCACATATTGAAAACAATGAAGGCAATACTCCCCATACCTTAATTGCCGATTCTAAGTCTTTCTCCTTAATTCTTGGAAACTTCGCGAAGCTTTTGCCTCAATCCTCTTCCTGAGAGTTCTGGCCTCTATTTCTTCCCTTTTCACAGTCTAACAAGAATGAATCCTAATTCCATCAAAATTCCTTTTTGTTAAACCTAACTTTGGGCCTATAAATTGGGCTTTTCCAATATTACTCTCACTAACTCCTCTTTAATTATCCAATTTGCCCTTAGTTAACTTATATTTATTTAAATTAATAATAATACCAATATATTCATATTATATACTATTATTTAAATAAATAACCTAAAATCCATAATTCTCAATATTTCACACCAACCACCGAAAATCACCAAAAATACGAATATTTACATTTAAATAAATTAAATAAATATTCCAGAAATACGAATACTTACGGAGAATTTTAGATAAAAGATCTTGGTAAGACTAAGAGGATTCTAGAAATAGATATCAAGATAAACAGGGAAATAGGGTATACTTTCTTATGTTAATCCAGTTACTTGAAGAAATTGATGGAGATGTTTAGAATGTTTGATGATAAAACCGTCAACATGATTTTAGATCATCAAACTAAGATTTCAATCTTCCATCTCCTCAATCATGGATAAGAAAAGAAAATGGAGAGTAATACTTACTCTAGTGGGGTTAGAACCATCATATATGAGGTGGTTTGTAGTAAGTCGAACTTAGAATACACCATTAGCATAATAATTGTGTTTATGGAAAATCCAGGTTGAGCGTATTGGAAAGATATGAAGTGGGAGTTGAGATATTTGAATGATTTCTTAAAGGAAGATTTAAAGTTCACAAGATAAGCTCAAGGAAATGACACTTTGAAGGGTTTTGTGAATATTGACTATGTGGGAATGAGAAAACTAGAAAATCCTTGTTAGGTTTTATATTTACATTGTTTATAACAATCATAAGTTGAAAAAAAATTAACAATTTTTTGTCGCTTTATCTACAACTTAAGAGGAGTATAATTCCTTGTTTGAGGGTATAAGGAAGGCGTTATGTTAAGAGGTATGATTGGAGAATTAGGAATAACTCAAGAATGTATAAAGATACATTGTTATAGTCAAAGTGAAATCAATTTGGATATTTATCAAGTGTATCATAAATGGAAAAAGCGCATCATCATCCTTTTGTACTTCATTAGATACATAATTTAATCAAAGGATATTGTGGTTGAGAAGTTTTCATTTGAAAATAATTTTGCAGATGTGTTCATCAAGTCACTACACGGGTCAATATATTATTGATCAAGCAACTCCAAACACAATAGAGGGTGAATTATGATATTCGGTTTTTCAAAAAATTGGTTTACAAAAATTGTGATTTCAAAACATCTACTTAGAAGACAAAAATGAAGTAGTTGATTAATAAAAAAGAGAAATAAGCAGCAAAAAATATAAATAAAAAAAATGAAAGAGATAAGAGATAAAATGATCACACTATAGAATTATCTTAGTTTGACCTAAACCACTTGGCCAAATTCATCCTCCAATAGTTTCTCCTTGATCTTTCTGCTAAATTTTTTTTTGAGATTTTTATATGAACCCCCAGACAACCTTTCACAAGAAGTAGTTTTTTGTACAAGATTAACTCAAAAACTGTGTAGTAATAACTTGAGCTTTTACACAAGCTCAACACAATAACTTTCACCCCAAATATTTTTAACATGTTAAGATGTCAACCTTCAAAAACTATTACAAATAAGTCACAAAAAACTATGCTTTTGAATAAAGATTTTTAACACATGATCAATACAAAAACTCTAAAAAAAATCACTCTCTTGATATTAAGACAACTTTAGTATAAAAAAAAAACAAATTTATAAGAGAATAAAAGAAGAAAATGATAAAGAGTTTCTATTCAGAAAAATAGTGTGTTTTGAAATGAGAAGAGGTCTACTTTCTATAGGAAAACATTTGGCTCGAAAATAAAGATATCAATGGCCCTTTTTAATGAGTTAATCGATTAAATCTATGTATTAATTTATTAATCAAGCTAAAATAGGAAAAAATTGAAATTCTATGTCACTTGCCTCCTTAATTAGTTAGAGTGTGTTACACATTTATATAATCGATTAAATATACCTTTTAATCAATTAGACAATGTATTTTATCTTCCTAATTAATTAACCAAACTTCTAATCAGTCAAGTGTTTTCTCGGATTGATTTAAGAATCTTTATAAAAAGAAAGGAGATTTGGAAACATTGTGTGTGTATGTGTGCGCGCGCGTGCGCAAGCATGTGTCTGCGTGCGTGTGTGTTATCTTAATACCTCAAGACTTACTCTTTTTCTTTTATATTAAACTGATAAGAACTAGGAAAAATCCTCAGTGTATGACCAAGGAAACTTTTAAACTTTCACATCTTCGAGTCTACAATTTCAAGACTTCATGTTTTTACATCACTAAATATCAAAACTTCAAAGTCATTTTTTTTATTCAAAATTGAGTAGCACTTTCAATTTGATATTGATACATTTGATTAATGAGGCTCGGATCTATCGAAACGTGTGAAATACCTTAGGGTTTTTCTTCCATTTTTTCTAAGAGAAGTGATTTCTAGAGCAAGAAGCTTAGAGAAACCAAGAAAGGGATTCTAAGAATTTTTAATGGTAAGAATTGGAAGATCTTTAGAAGTTCTACAAGAGTTAAGAATCACTTTTAAATATCTTTAAATTGGGTGATTCATATATTGAGAAAATGAGAGATTAAATTACAAATAAGTAGATATTTTGAAGTATTTTGATATTTTTGTTGAAGATTTTATTTTTAATTCATTTGTAATATTTTATTGAGACTTTTGATTAATGGTAGATCAACGAATTGTTCTCTTTCCTAAAATAAATTAATTTTAAATTGTGTCGGATAAACATTTTTTACGCTGATTATCCACTTTTATCTTTTATTTTTTTAATTTTGTCAATTTCACACATCATATTTGGTGTGATGATTTTGGGTTTTTCACAACATTTCCATCATAAAGATGGATCCACACAACTTACACTTAACTATTCATCTTCATTTAAAACTCTATCAATTGTAAATCTCAAAATATTTTGATGGTCCATTAAAGTTGGGGTCCATATACATCTATATCGTATAACCTTATAAACACAAACAAGTGTATGGTCAATAACAATGCCATAGAGGCTTAAACATTAATTATAATTTTAACTCATACTCATCTTAACACATACACCACTTGATCATGTTATATATAATAAGTCCCATGTTACTATGAATAATAAGCCAACTATTCCATTATCACCGCCTAGTTGTCTCTTCAACTTCCTTAGATTCACTTCAATCTCCTTTGTCTTCATCTATCCATAAGCCTAAAAAACTAGACAGGAATCTTTTATATCCCGACAGAATAGATAGATCTGCAGTGCTGTTCATTTGACTAACACAGTCATCAAACACACACAATAAAATAATAATATTATCATAAAGTGTGAACAAAAGTTTCCACTACAGGCATGCAGGTAATGCTTAATTTCTTATGTGATTATAATATATATATATATATATATATATATATATATATATATATATATATATATATATATATATATATATATATATATATATATATATATATATATATATATATATATAGTTGAGTTTGTGTAGCATGCATTATTTACTTCAAAGCTAATAGTTCTTTTGGTTCTTAATAGCAGATTGTTCAATGGCTGTTTAAAAAGGAACAAGAACAAGAAAGAAAGAAAAGCACCTTCAATGGTAAGTTTGATTTTTTCAACAAGTTTATGAAAAATTTTATAGACAAATGTTAGTAAGTTTGTACTTTGTCTTTGCTTTCGGAGATTGAACTCCGGACTTTCAACTTAAAACTTATGCGTCTCTTAGCTCGATATTCGAGCCACCTTTCCAGGACTCAATCGATATTTTCTAAATTAGTGTTTCTTTTTTCAGAAAAATATGATAAAGTGAAAGAGATTAATGTACTAAAGCATGATGGATCATATAAAAGGACAAAGAGATTCTTATGTATTAAACATGGATACAAGAATTTGAAGATATTCTCTTTTCTGTATAAAAAAGACATTCCAAAGGCTTGGTTTTTCAGAACTCTCAACATAAGGAGAATAGGCTTTAATAGAAGACATTTTGTTTACTCGATGAAAACGAAGGAGGAAGCGATCGTTAACAAGACCGACTCGACGATTCATGCAGGGAACAAAGTTTTGCCAATAACTCATGAGACACCATTGTCATCTTCATCGAAAAGAAATGAGCAAGGTGATATATGTATAACTAAAAAGAAACCTACTTCTAGAATGAAAGAGTTACTTAGATGGGCTGCTTCTGCTAGAACAGATAAAGGAGGAAAATTCTATGGAAGAAAGGTGAGATGATTCTTTTTTTTTTTGTCTTTATTGAAAAAATTTATTAAAAACCATTTAACTAGATTCTTATAAAGATCTATCATTGAATGTTTATCAGGTTTTGATAATGTTGCGACGGCGCGGAAACGTGAAAGCTGTTCAAGATGATGATGAAGCTTTGAGTGATTCACCAAAGATCAGTTTCAGATGGGATGTAGAAAGCTGCTCCACCACTTCTTCTGCCTGCTCAGCTTTCTCAATGGCTTCTTCAACAAGAAATGGAGAGAAGAAAGTTGCAACTTCCACTATATCACTCCCTCCTTCAGAAAGTGGTTACACTCCTTGTAGAAAAGGAAGCTGGATCACAACAGATTTTGAATGTATGTCACTTATGCATCAATTCATTTCTATGGTAGTTTAAGGTTTTCCACACACATAAAAATTTAATTTAACCAATGTATATATTCTAAGATACTGATTTGTTCACCATCTTTTTGTCTGAGGTACAGTTGTGGTGTTGGAACTATGAAATAAATGTGTCTACAGAAGATTATCCCATGTGTGGTTAAGGGGTAGAAGGCAATCTATGTCACAAGTTAATGCTCTAAAGTATATGAATGGCTGGTTGTTCATGGCTAATTTCTATGTGATATTTTGTAACAAATTTATATAAGTTAACTAATGGTTGAGATATTGAGTGGCACAAGAGAGATGTGATGTATGTACTAGATGAGAATGTTGGTATCTATATCATTAGAGGTATAAATTAATTAAGTATTTCATGACAAAGATAATTAATTAAATGTAAGAGATAAGTTTACATGTCACTATAGGACCACCACCTTTACTCTCTACTTTGAAATGAAAATGTAGTCATTTATTTTTTTAAGGGTTATAAAACTTCGAATTTATAGATGATAATTGTTGTAAAATTGAAAGGTTAAAAGAGTTAAAAGAATATGTATCATTAATATGAATTTCCTTGAGAATAAAGATATGTGGAAAAAAAAAGACTACTAAAATAAAATGGTCTCAAGTAATAAAAATTAATAATTAAATGGTGTCATTAAATTCACATCAAATAAAAGAAATATAAAAGGCTAGTACATGCAAAATTTGTCTACTCAATTTGATTAAAGTGAACTACTCGAAGAAGAGAGTAGCTCTCCAGTTCATTATATTTTCAAAAGTTGTTCACAAAATTCTCAATAACAAACTATATTTTCTAAGAACTCCAAAAAAATTCTTCCATTGCCTTTTTAAATAGAATTACCACTTTTTCTTTTTGTTCTCTTCTCTCTCTTTTTCTTTTCTTGTAAAAGTGATAGAAAATCATATTTACAATATCCTCAAACGTAAAAATATTATGAACAAGAACAAATATAATACTTATTGTTTCGTCCCCTTTTGACATCATCAAAAAGAAGACAAAGTATAATAAAGTACAAAGCAATGTGATAACATAGGAAGAATATATTATTATAATTGAAAATTAATAGCACAGAATTAGACACTTATCTCCTTCATAAAGATTTAATGTCAAAGTTAATATTAATGTTGATACTTCTTCAAAACATCTTTTTAATCAATGAAACTTTTAAAATTACCATATCATATGGTCTTGTGTCTTGAAGGATCAATCTTGATTTGACAATGCTAGCATATGACCTTCAAGCACCTACAAAACAATTAGTTACATCTAGAAACCCAATTTTCTTTAGGTCCTTTTGGTTAAGATACCTTCATCACTCATACATACTCACTATAAGAAATACCATAATTTCTTATGTAGTAAGAATTAGTAGTACGCCCTTTTGCTTTACAATAGAAACAAGTAGGTCTAAAAACATGATTCCTACATAAGACCTTTTATGATTATTTGCAACATGTTCTTTCTTTGATTCTTCATTATTGAATTTGCTAGTAGCCTTTACAAAGATGGTTTGACTTGTATTAGGATTATCAATATTAGTAAAGTCGAGTCCACATTTATTATTTGAAAATCTTTGAGTACTTAACAAATTTTCTAAACCAATTTAACCTTTTTCATTTTTCATGATCACTTGGTTTAATTCCACAATTTTAGACTTAAGAGATGAACAATTATTGCATGCTGAATTTTTGATTAAATCTAACTCCACATATGTGTCATTAGCCATACTTTCTAGTTTTAAAATAGTTTTCTTTTGATTTGAACATTTTCTAGAAAGTTTTAAAAAAGTCATCATATAATTAATTTAAAGCACTTTCTAATTCATCATATATAAGTCTATCATCAATTTCATAATCACTAACTTCATATTCTTCATCACATGAATGGTGTGATGCCATCAATGACTTGCTTGTATGATCTTCATTGGAAGATGAACTTATTTCATTGTCATTCCATGCTATATATGCTTTCTTTGGCCTTTTTTCATTCTTGCTCTTGAATTTATTCTTCTTTTAAAGTCTAGGGCATTCACTTTTAACATGTATTGTTTCACCGCATTCAAAGCAAATAATCTTTCTTATTGGTGCTTATTTTTTACTCATTTCTTTTGTAGATTCCTTTCTTAAGAATTTTTCGAATTTCTTGATTAGAGCAATATCTCTAAAAACACAATTTGCAAAAACCATCTTCTGAATCTAATGAGCAAGTTACCAATAACCTGATCATATGGCAATTGTTAGTATATGCACGATATCTAAGAGGAAGGGCGAATTAGATTTTTTTGGACTTTTCTCAGCTTGAAGCGTTAGCAGTGGTTTTGTTATTTTTCAGAACTGATATGAAAATAAATATGCTGAAAAATAATGCAGAAAGTAAAGTACACAATGATGTATATTGGTTCCCCTTACAATTCGAGAGTACTTCAGAATTATCATAATCATGTCATCTTGTGCATGCATTCATTTTAACATCATGTAAAACTTATTTGAAACTTAATTTTTAAGTATTTTTCACTTTCATAGCAGGTGTAATCGGTTACACCAATTAGTTTACAGGTTACGTCAACGTAAGAATTTTTTTCTCAGAAGATTGTTTCAAACATTCTAATTTTAGTAAATTTTGGCATTCGAAATTATCGTAACAGCATTTTAAAACCGCCCAATTTGCATTGTTTACATAAATGTAATAATACCTTAGTTTTTGAAAAAGTATCAGGTGTAATCGGTTACACATTCGAAAATTTCAAATTTTACATACCTTTTCATGAAAAAGCTTATTCCAATGTTTTGCAACTTTCAAATATCAAACATGGCAATGTTTCATGAATATACACTCTTTCATAAGGTTATATTGCATGTATATATACATGTGATTTCAGTTTTTCAAAAAGAGATTCTTTGATATACAACTTTCACATCTCATAAATTCAAACAAGTTTCTAAACTTTCAAATATGAAACTTTCTGCATGAACTTTCATACATATTCATAAAAGTATTAATCATATTATTCTGAGCACTAAGGTGCATATTTTTGAATTGTGATCAATTCAAAGATGAACTCAATTGATACATAATTGATACTAAAGCTATAACTTCTGTTACAAACTCAGATTTGTGTATACTTTGTTGTCTAGGATTGTTGGAAACAATAGAGTGAAAAAGAAAGGATTGTTTTCTTTTTCACGTGTGTTGCTTATGTTAGAAGATTATAGGATAGATTTTGGTGGAAGACTTGTACAAATATCTAATATTGAAAAAAAACTCTCATAGGGAGTTAGGGGACTCGAATACTCTCGGATTGTGAGGGGAACTAGTATACGTCATTGTGTCTTTTAATTTCTGAATTTATTTTTCAGCATATTTATTTTCATATCAGTTCTGAAAAATGACAAAACCAACGCTAACACTTCAAATTGAGAAAATTCCAACAAAATATAATTCAACCCCTCCTCTTAGAGACCGCGCATATACTAACTATTAACATCAGAGCGGGTTATTGGTAACTTTCTCTTTAGATCCAGAAGATGGCTTTAGCAAATCATGTTTTTAGAGGTGATTCTCTAATCAAGAAATTTAAACAATTCTTGAGAAAGAAATAGACAAAAGAAAAAAGTAGAAAAGAAGCACCAAGAAGGAAGGTTACTTGCTTTGAATGCGGAGAAATAGGACATGTTAAAAGTGAATTTCCTGCACTTCAAAAGAAAAATAAATTCAAGAGAAAGAATGACAAAAGGCCAAAGAAAGCATATGTAGCGTCAAATGACAATGAAATAAGTTCATCATGTAGATCATGCAAGCAAGGCATTGATGGCATCACGCCATTTAAGGGATGAAGAAAATGATGCTAGTGGTTATGAAGTTGATGATAGACCTTCATATGATGAATTACAAAGTGCTTTAAATGAATTATATAATGAATTTTTGAAACTTTCTAGAAAATGTTCAAACCAAAAGAAAACTATTTTAAAATTAACAATATGGCTAATGACACATAAGTGGAGTTAGACTTAATCCAAATTTTAGCATGCGACAATTGTTCATATCTTGAGTCTAAAATTGTTGAATTAAACCAAGTGATCGTGAAATATGAAAAAGTTCAAATTTGTTTAGAAAATTAGTTAAGTAGTCAAATATTTTCAAATAATAAATGTGGACTCGGATTTACTAATTTTGATAATCCTAATACAAGTCAAACCATCTTTGTAAAGGCTACTAGAAAATTCAATAATGTAGAATCAAATAAAGAACATGTTGCAAATCATCATAAAAGGTCTTATGATAGGAATCATGTTTTTAGACCTACTTGTTTATATTGTAAAGCAAAAGGTCGTACTACTAATTCTTACTACATAAGAAATTATGGTATTCCTTATAGTGAGTATGTATGGGTGATGAAGGTATCTTACCCAAAAGGACCTAAATAAAATTGGGTTTCTAGATGTAACTAATTGTTTTCTAGGTTCCTGAAGGTCATATGTTAGCATTGTAAAATCAAGATTGATCCTTCAAGACACAAGACTATATGATATGGTAGTTTTAAAAGTTTCATTGATTAAAAAAATGTTTTGGAGAAGTATCAACATTAATATCAACTTTGACATTAAATCCTTATGAAGGAGATAAGTGTCTAATTTTGTGCTATTAATTTTCAATAATAATAATATATTCTTCTTTTGTTATAACTTTGCTTTGTACTTTATTATACTGTGTCTTCTTTTTTATGATGTCAAAAGGGGGCAAAACATTAGGTATTATATTTGTTCTTTTTCATAATATTTTTTTGAGGGAGAAAGGCTTGAATTGTAAAAGCAATGGAAATATATACAAGATTGGGGAGATTCTAGTTGCTACTCAACATTTTGAAAATTCACATATTAAACAACTCATTGATGAACAAGTAAAATTTTAAATGATGTTTTGTCATCATCAAAAAGGGGGAGAATGTGAAGAAGAGTTCTTCTTGTCCTTGGTTATAGTTTTGATGAAGACAAACACATCAACATAAAAAAGTCAAATCTTGAAGACTAGAGCAATCAAGCGAAAATGATCGTAAGCTTTGGAAAGTCAATGGAAGAATCAAGATTGTTGAGTATTCT